GGCACTTAGGCACCCCAGTTCATTTTTACGTTTTTCTTCATTTTTGCTCCAAATTTGACACTTTTTTACTCTTTTTAGCATTTTCATCCATTTGATTGCACCTGTAAGAAAAACACACAAATACCCTTCATTAGAGTGCAGCCATTTGATTGCACCTGCAAGAAAAACACACAAATACCCTTCATTAGAGCGCAATATCTCAAAAATAGGTATAAAACTGTGTATAAAATTATTATATATTTTAGGTGTATCAATGACCAAAACATCTACCTAACACTCGAAGAACTAAAAATTTTCAAAAATGAAGAAGGGCCAGCCACAAAGCCAAGATCGATCATCCAAACTCAAATTTGAAGAACGAACAGCCGGAGCACCAAGATTTCTTGACTGAGCATACAATCAAAGAACAACCAACGGAGGCACCAATATCGCTCGACCAAGCTTAAATTTGAAGAATGACCAACTACAATGCTAAAATCACCTGACTGAGCATATAACTAAAGAATGGATAGCTGAAGAACCAAGATTGCCCAGTTGTGCCCAAATTTGAAACAATCAGCCACATCGCCAAGATCGCTTTGTTAAGCATGAAATTGAAGAACGGTCAGTTGCATTGCTAAGATCACTCTAACAGAGCCCAAATTTGAAGGCAACTAGCCGCGACATCAGTATCACACAACTGAACATAAAATTGAAGGACGACTAGCCATGAATCCAACATCGCCCAACTGAGCCCAAATTTGAAGGCAACCAGCCGTGACACCAAGATTGCCCAACTGAGCATAAAATCATATAACGACCAGCCGAGACACCAAGATTTTTTATCTGAGCCCAAATTTGAAGGCCACCAGTCGTAGCCTCAAGATCATCCAGCTAAGCACAAACTTGAAAGCTAACTAGGCACGAGGCCAAAATAGCCCTACTGAGCCTGAAAAATAAAATTGTCCAATTGCAGCTCCAAGATTTCCAATTAAGCCCAAAAAAGGGGTTGAATGGTTGAGAAACCAAGATTGTCTAGCTGGATCCCAACTAACTCAAAATTCCTTTAGGTTCAAATGAGAATGAGGGGCAAAAGATAAATCAACCCAAGGAGCCATATGACACTTGCTAATTACCAGCAAAACAGGCACTTCACAAAAATCGATAAGATTAAGTCAATTAAGCAAAAAAAAAAGTAAAAAAATAAGCAAAGCTTCTTTTCATTTCCATAACAACATATGTATATAGTTTTTCCTTAAGTACATTGTATTCATAAATAGTTGACCTGCATGATAAGGTGGCATAGATTTTCTGGAAAAAAAGAGAAAAAATAGAGATAAAAAAATAGACAAAAATAAATGTAAAAGAGCCTAGGTGTTTATGGACCCGCCTTTGCCTCTGTCTCCAACTTTGCCCAGATGATCCACCTCACCACCTTCCTCATCTGAATCCATAAAGAATGTGGCAAGTTAGTCCACGTCAGTCCATGTCAGTCCACTTGGGTTTCACCAGACCTCTTTTCACAAAGTGCTCGATAGTCATAGCCAGTCCGACCTGTATTTGCTCGGACAGTGCCCTGAATTGGTCATCTTGGGTGACCATCCAACCTTTCTCTCATCAAGCTCTTTATGTTTCTTTATCAGAATTACGATAGTTTGTTCATGCTTTTTGTCCTCAGCCTCAATTATCGGGTGGTTTCCTTGAGCTTCTTTCAAAGCGGGCAAGCTTTGCCTCAACCTTCCTCCTAGCCATGATTGACTTAGAAATCAAGCAATCAATTGCTTTTCTGTTCCTCTTATGAGTAAGCTAAACTGATTCACAATCTCACCCAGGTCAGAGCATACCTTTTTTGCCAAATGGCAAGGATATTTATCAGCCTCCGATGTATCCTCAAAAGGCAAACTGATATACCATTCTTTCTTGGTATCCACCATGATTTATTGGCTTCCTGAACTTTCCCACTCATTATTCTCCCCCTCTATCAGACTGAGGGGAGCCTCCTTCCCGTGATAGGGGTGGCAGAAAACTCTCGCTGGTCGGCTCCTTTCCCTTCCTGCGGAGAAGTTCTCTTTTCTCAAATCCGACACCACGTCCACTAAGAAATTTAGTTGTGTTTCCATCCTTTCACGAGGATCAATGAAAGAGATGCCCAACTCCTCCTTTCTAGTGGACTTGTCGACCAGAGGCACCTCTCCCCCAAAACTCGAGTTCTGAGAGCTGAGCTAATCAAGCAAAGCCTTCTGACACCTCTCAGAGGTCACCACACTTGCTCACTTAAATGGATGGTCAAGAGAATTTCAGGATAAAAAAAATAAATAAGGAGAGATATAGGAAGTATAATAAACGAGAGCACCCAATAGTTTTCGTTACAACAAAGAAGGATCCCTCGTCTTGCGGGAATCTTCAACTTTGGTTTCTTTTCAGCAAGCCTTGCCACCACAACCTTTTTCCTCTCCCTCTCCTTTGTGTCTAATTTTACCATAATTCCTCAACCATGTTGCTAAATGATTATGACCGCAAAGTTTTGTTGACTGCTGCCAATTCCAGATACTAGAATATGAATAACTCTTGACCCTCAATCATTTCAGTGTAAACCCTCATAAAATCAAATAGGGCCTTTGAATTTGACACATCCCGAAGAATGGGTCGGATGGAGATTACTCAACCTCTTTTGTTAGAGGCAATCACAAAATTCAATCGTTAGTCCTTCATGTTGCTCTCGACCCCAACCACCCGGAGTCTTCAGCGTGATGGGGAAACAATGTATTTGTCCATGTCCACCTTAAAACCAAAGAAAAGGGAGGACAACTCAATAGACTAAGGAAGCTCCAGCCATTAGAGAAAAATAACAAATGTCATGATGATTGCAACAGAGTTTGGTGTCATCCTTGTCAGAAAATATTGTGGTGATTGAAGATGGATCAGAGCTTATGGCAGAGTGGTAACTATAATCCAAACTTAAACTGACTTATGTAGATGACTAGACAATCCCCAAACGTGCCTGACACCCTCACGTCTTTATCCACCAGCCTAAGAATTGTTGAATCCCCAAAGACAAGCAACCTTTGGAGGACTTCTATTTGTTTTACAGTTGATACAAATGCTACAATGGAGTGATCCACACCGAACAACTCATAGGAGTACTTGGACACCATTGCTAGAGAATAAAGGGAAGAGGGAAGTATAGAACGCCATGGGAGATAAGAATTAATAAGAGAAAAAAAATAGCATAGTAGGGTTCCTACAGACCCGCCTAGGTTGAAATGACGTAGGGACATAAGGATTTTTTGCAACATTGAATCACATGAAATAAAGATCAAGTTTTTGGTACTGATGTAAAATAAAGAAATATAAGTGAAAACTATAATTAAAGTCATTGTTATACTGTTGCATATAGACAGTCGGGATCAGTGGGGTGTTAGTCCCCTCACTAGATGACATGCCCATCATTTTATGCAGATCAACGATAGTAAAGGAGCAAGCTCCCTCCCCGGTCATTTGTTTTACCGATGGGGAAGGACAATAGCTCTAAGAACATCAACCGGCAGAGTATCACTGGCTACTCCCTAAATGATCACCTCAATTCCTCTAGCAACATCGTCGTAGTTGCAGGCTCTTGGCTCTACTCTTTCTCCAACATAGAAGGATCTCGAGCGAAAGAAGTTCCGCTGACCTACCTTCCAGACGGGTTATCCCTGTCAACTAACATTGCTTCCTCGGGAAGCCACCCTCCCTCACTTGAGACCTCTTTTATAGGATAGTCAAAAAGTGAATCAGAAGACCCTAGTTTGTCACCCGACTCAGGGAATCTCGCCTCAGCGCAAGAGGTTTTTCACGACGCGTGTTCTTGGAAGAAGCATTCGCCTGCATGTTCATCACCTTAACAACCATCTTACGGGCATCCTCACCGAACTTAATTGACTTTGACTGGGGACTGCTCTCCATGACCACCAACAAAAGATGAGAAATGTTGACTCGCTCGAAGAAGATTAAGATAAGATACATTTTTTCTTCAATTCTCCCCAATTTATAAGGGTCTTTGCACATAATTTTAGGAGCGTTCAATTATTATGCATTTAATATCATTAATATCTATAAAAATTTGAAAATTAAGATTCTCCTGTACTTATTGCAGCTATCGCTATCAAAAAGTAGGAGAATTGAAGATTAAATATGCACATAAAAAATGTGTCAGCACGAATCTTATAGATGTCTAACTGCTGATAGAAAAAATGACATGTAAGTCTGTGACCCATTAGGAACAGTTCAAGGTCTCATGTCTATTCGATCGACTTCTGTGTGCTGGGAGGAAAATAATCCTAAGACGGACAAAATTCAGCCACCTCCCTTAAAGTTCACCAACATAAAACTCATGCAGACTAATCCACCAACAATTTTCAATCAAGTTGGGAAAATGATGAAAGCTGCTAAGATCTAATGCAACCAGGCGGGGTCTCCTGATCCACCATTCGATCATAGCTGCCTGAGAAATGACATAGCCGTTCATTCTCTCAAGCCCAAACTCGTCGCCACCCGATTTAAAAAATTTGGGCGGGTGCCATCTCCAGCTCTTTACCCCATTGGCAGGACGTCATTTTAGGCACCCGACCGTACAACTATGTATTAACTAAAATGCACACGTCATATTTATTTTTCTAGGGGTACATAATGTAATTATTCATCCCCTATCCATATAAATAGCTGCTCATTACACGATTTTACTATTCATTACTAAGCTATCCATTGTTTTTTTCTTTTTCATACTCTATTCTTTAGGCATGTCTTCTTAGCAATTTTGGATTCAACATCCGAATAATTTGATAAAATCCAAAAATTATTTAAGATTGAAGACATGTTTGTGGCGACGTAATTTTTTAAAAAGATAATTGTAAAACTGAGGTAAAAAAATTACCTTTTAAAAATTACGATGAAAATTATAAATATATTTATTTTTTAAAAAATTAGAAAATAAATTCCTTATATATATCAATTAAAAAAAACAAACTCAAATAGACAAAAATCTGTGGCAAAGCTTGCTATTTTCTTCCCAAAAAGCGCTGACAATAAGGACTCAGATGGGTACTGTGCTCGTGCTACAGTATCCACAGCCGAAGGACGGAGTGGCGAGCAATGGAACTCGGAACTCTGGAATCCCTGAAATCTCCATCTTCAACCGGAGGTCGTAAGCAAGGAGGAAAAAAATAACCCTAGAACTTCAAAACCTAAAATGGACAGACCCAGGTCCAAACGGAGCTACCATCACTACGACCAGGACTCCGATTCTCAAACACCTACCAAAGCCCCGTTAGGCCGGCGGCAGCCATCGCCGCCCAAACCATCATCGACGGAACAGCGACCGGCGACAGCATCCTCCACCTCCGCCTCCCCCTCCCCCTCCGCCTCCTCCAGTGTCCTCCTCCTCAAAGATCTCCGAGGGATCGCCGCCGGCTGGCTCCGTCACGACCTTCTTTCGCATCCTCTGTTCCGAGGCCAAAGTCGATGGCGTCATCGGCAAGTCCGGGAGTATAATCGAGAGCATCCGGCGGGAAACTGGCGCTTGGCTCAATTTTCATGACCTCGTCCCCGGAGACGACGAGCGGATAATTGAGACCGCGGATAGCCGGCGGCGCGAGCAGGACGGCCGGCCTCCGCAGTACTCACCTGCGCAGGAAGCACTTCTGTTGATTCATGAGAGGATTTTGGATATGGATTTTGAGGATGGGGATCAGGACGACGAGGAGTACGAAGGCGATGGCGGCATGTGGGGTGGAGGTGAGAGGAGTAGGGAGAGGGGGCGCGTGACGACCAGGCTGGTGGTACCGAGGATGCATGTCGGGTGCTTGTTGGGTAAGGGAGGGAAGATCATCGAGCATATGAGGAATGAGACCAGAACTCATATTCGGATCTTGCCGAGAGATCAGTATACGCCTAGATGTGTCTCTATGTCGGAAGAGGTTGTTCAGGTAGCACATTGTCTTCCTCATGTTGTTGGCTAATGATAGTCCACAGTGCTTAAGTTATAGACTGTAGTTGTTGTTTTATCTAATTATGCATTAAGGCCGTGGAATTGCCTTCAATGACATCATCTTCTCGACAGGATAATCTCTTTTGCATAGCTCTCTTTTTGTGCTTTTCTTTGGGTTTCTATTTCAGTTGTAGCCCAAAATGTTGTGATTTAACTAACCATGATGATTGCGATGCCTATATATATCATGATCAGTGCAGAGTAAATCGCTTCCTGCTATCTTCTGCACTAGTTTTAATTAGAGTTGCTATGCCTTCTATGCCAGTCAACTAGTGAAATATAAGCTTTGTTAGAGCTATCGTAAGGAACAGTTTTGCAGGTGCACCATCAGATAGCAGGAAGTTCAAGTTCAATTTCCCTGAGTCTTGATTGTTTATTCATTCTTGAACATGTTAGGATTTGACTTCTAGTTTTTCCAGGCAAGCATGAAATTTAAAATATATAATTTTTGGTAAATACAAATTATACTTTTATTTTTATTTTCTGTATAAAATCAATTCTATAAGGTTTTTACAAAAGTTGTAATGTTAGAGGGTTCCAAATCAAAATATAAACTTGATTGAGATTTAAAATCACCTTTGTAAACTCTTGTAGATACATTAAGGCGGTGTTTGGCTGAGATGCAGATTTACGTTAAATAGGATTTATCAAATTCGCGAAATCCTGCTAGCTCGCGACGGAGATGAAGCTCGCTCGCGATGACGGAGTAAATTTTTTTAATGGGGGGGGGGGGGGGGGGGGGGGGGGGGGAATTGGAGTTAACGAAGAGATGGATTTCGTTTTCACTTTTTTAGTTGTTTGGCTGGATTTAGGTTAAATCCATGGCTAAATTATATTAAAATTGTGCTACCGAACACCCCCTAAGGAGAGGAGCCCATGCATAAGATGTAAGTGTGAGTGCTTTGTTATTCATCATGAGGCATGTGTGCATGCTGTGGTTTTTCCTTTGCAATTTCTGGCCGCTTCTTGGGGAAATAAAGAGTTCATGGTGGATTTTGAGAAACAAGTTCTTAGAGAAATAAAGTTCTTAGAGAAATAAAGGAATATAAGTGAGCAGAAAGAGAAAAAGAGTTAAAGAAACGAGAGAAAAAAAAAACGACAGAGAGAGAAGAATAGGAATGAATACCATTTGGCTCCTTTGTTTGTGGTCATCGAGATATTTATGTTTGTGATCAATAGGAATGAATAGCCATTAAGTTCTTTTTTTATCACAAACCATAAACTTAATGACCATAACTTTATTCAATAGTCTCAATCTGAGTTTATGTATATCTGTGGAAAAGGAAAAGAGGAACATCTTACGGGAGAAGACACGGTTCCTAAGGTCACTAATCGTAATTGCCACATATGGAAAATTCAAGATCATATGGTTTTATCTTGGCCAGTCAACTCAATTACCACTGAAGTAGGAGAAAATTTTTGCTTTACAAAACAATAAAAGAAATTTGAGAGGCAACAAGAGAAACTTATTCTAGTACCGAGAATACGACATAATTATTTGAGATTGAAATCAAACTATATGATCTTTGTCAAGAAGAGCTAAGTGTCACCCAATATTTCAACACCTTGACAAAGTATTGGCTTTAGTTGGATATATTTTGAGTCATATGTGTGGAAATGTCTACATGATGTCATGATGTATAAATCCATCATCGAGAAAAGAAGAACTGTCAAATTCTTAGTGGAACTAATTAAGGAATTGGATGAAGTGAGGTGGAGGATCATGTGAATAAAGTCTCTTTCATTTTCCTATGAAGCTTTTGCTGAAGTTAGAAAGGACGAGAGTTGAAAGAAGCTTGTGATGACTGGAAAGGAGAGTTATGGTGTTGAAAGCTCAACTTTATACTCCTATAATTCTTCCCATTACTTAAAGCTCAAGAAGAATTGTCCAATATGTGATTATTGCAAGAAAATTGGACACCTTAAAGACAAATATTGGAAACTCTATAGAAAGTTTGTAGATTGGAAACTTGGACATGGAAGGAAGATCAAAAGAGCAATTCTAATGCTGCTATGACACCTGAAGTGTGGGTTGAGTCATTCAATATGTAACAACTTGAATTACTGAAAAAACTCATTGGGGGTAATTCAGAACAGCACACCAGCCTCACGATACATCAAAGAAATATATTTTTCTCTCATTTTACTAATAATGGGAGATTTAAGCCTTAAATCATAGATTCAATAGCTTCTAATCACATCATTAGAGACATCAATGCTCTAGTTAACTATCAAGTGACTTCTACATCTAGATCTGTCAGACTTGCAAATTGATGACACCAAAAAATTACAGGAAAATGAGGTGTGGAGCTCTCGTGATATCCTTTCCTTGGTTTTTTTTATGTTCCACAGTTGAACTATAATATCATTTCAATATATAAGCTTACTCATGATATAAAATATATAACTAAATTTTTTGCAAACTTGTGAGTTTCATGTGGCGGATTCGGGGAAGGTAATTGGCGGTGTTGAAATATATCAAGACTTATATTTGCTCAAGAAAAGCCTTTATGTAAACATACAAGTAGTCCCACATTCATTTTTTTCTCAAGTCTTTGCGTCTGTTGAAAAACAAGTCATGTAATGACATTATCACCTATGTCATCATAATATCAACTATGTTGTAAAATTGTATCCTTATTTGTTTGTCAATTAAAAAAAATAGTATTTATCAATGTGAGATTTGCCAATTTGCCAAACATACTAGAAATGTTTTTCTCATGATTCAGTATAAGCCCTCAAATCTTTTTTTTATTATCCATAGTGATATTTGGAGAACTTAAAAGTAAGAACTCTAATCAGGGCTAGATGATATGTCTCATTCATTGACGATTATACTTGGATATTTCTACTGAATGAGAAATCTAAAATTGCCCAATTCTTTCAAATCTTCCATCATATGATTCAAACTTAATTTTAATGCAAAATTTAGATCCTAAAAATTGATAATACAAAAAAAAAGAACTCTATCATTGGATTCTATCTGTAAAAAAATTGAATCATCCATGGGAGTTCATGCATTGATGACTCATAATAAAATGTGATAGCTGAGAGAAATGAAAAACATCTTCTAGATATATTTTGCTTAATTATGATTCTCCATCAAGCTCCAAAATATTTTTGAGGGGAAGCAATTATTACTGAAATATATCTTATCAATTGAATGCTTAGCGGAATACTTATTTTCGAAGCACAACTTCATCTCTCGATGAATACATGTCTCTACAAGCTTTCTCCATTATAGTAACATTTTAAATTTTTTGGATGCATGTCTTTTATTGACATTCATTTTACTAACCACACAAAACTTGACCCTAAATCCATTAAATTTATTTTTTTTGGCTATGCCTCCAACAAAAAAGGTTTTAAGAGTTACTCACCTGTTACCAGAAGGTACTACAGCTCCATGGATGTAACATATTTTAAAAATCAACGTGGAAATACCACTAAGAATTAAGAATGATTCCAAAAAACACCTAATGTATAAACTCAATAAGTCACTCTATGGTCTTAAGCAATCACCAAGGGCATGGTTTGAAATGTCTGGTAAAACTATGAGATATAATGAATATTCTCAAGGTCAAGATGATCATACATTGTTTATAACACACTCAAAGAGGTAAGATTGTTGCATTGATAGTATATGTGGATGATATGATTCTTTCTTGTGGCGATCAAGTGAAAATTCTTAAAATTAAAGAGGTGCTTGCCACTGAGTTTGAAACCAAAGACCTAGAAGCAATTAGATATTTCCTAGGTATGGAGATAGCAAGGTCTAAGAAAGACATTGTTATATCACAGGGGAAATATATCCTAGATTTGCTAAAGGAAACAAAGATGATTGGATGCAAACTTGTTGATACTCCAATGGATTCTAACATGAAGTCTAATAAGAGAGAAGAAAGTATATCTGTTGATAAGAAAAGATATAAAAAATTGGTAGGAAAATTCATTTACCTCACACATACTAGTCATATATTTCATATTTTGTCAGTACCGTGAGCCAACATATGAATAACCAAAAAGAAGAGTATTTGGAGATGATGTACACGATTCTATGGTTTCTCAAGAAGACTCCTGATTATGGATTATTGTTTGAGAGAATTAGAAATAGAGAGGTAGAAGTCTACATTGATATAAGTTGGGCTAAGGAACTCATTGACAGAAGGTCAACTCTTATTTCATTGCTATGTATGAAAAAATCTGGTCACTTGGAGAAGTAAAAAACAAGTTGTTGTCTCTAGAAGTAGTGTAGAAGTAGAGTATATGGTACTTGTCTTAAGTATCTGCGAAAGAATCTAGATTCCAAAATGGTTAAACGAATTGGCGTGTACCTCTGATAAGCCTATATAAATGTTTTGTGACAACCAAAAAGCTATCAATATTGCGAAAAATTCTATGCATCATGCCGTGACTAAACAGATTGAAAGTGATGGGCATTTTGTCTCGAAAAACGGTGAAATTATACAAATAAGTTATATCTTGATACACCAACAAGTCATTGAATTCTTTACCAAAGCGCTTCTGCTAAGCAATTTCTCAGAATTTAATACCAAATTTGGTCTCTACAACATCTACAGCCCAGCTTGAGGGGGTGTGAAAATATATTGGAGGATGTGCTCCCTTATTAATTGGAGACAATTTGGGAAACTCCTTGATTAGTTTTGTTCTCTTCCTATTTATGTTTATTTCAAAATTATTTCTTTTTAATGTTTTGGCTAGATATATTTGGTAAGATCGTAAATGAGAAGGGGCTTATTTTCCTATACATGTAATCTTATAGTTGAAGATTGATATTGAGAATTTGAAGAATTCCTTCCCAAGTTTTTCTTCACCTATTATAGGTAAATTCGGAGTGGTAGATCTCTACCGTCTAGTTTGAGGGTGAATATTGAATTTCTTTCTCTCTCGTAGCTTAGCACACTCACTCTCCAATAC